AACAAATGGGTTTAACGTACCGAGTACCAAAGGACGGTGTAATCATCGAATACGGTTACAAAAGTCCCGATCCGAGAAACACCGTCTGTTCGCAGCGTCGCGTCGCGTGCCTCCGATCTGCATCCGAAGCGCAACGTGGAGCCTGGTCGCACCGGTGAACGAAGGCGAAACTATTTTCGCGAGAACGTTGCTCGCGTTGTTGGGAGGTGAAGTCAACATTCGAACTAGTTGCGGTAGGTATGCCGTGACGAGACGCAGTTATCGAGTAACGGCGTACGAACGTGCTCCCGGCACAAAATACCGAATAATAAGAAAAGCACGCGAAAAAATAACGACGCTCGAGGAGGCAAGGGAGAAAAAAGATCAGGCGCCGACGAATCACGTCGTCCCTTTCCCGTTGCATAATGAAAGCGGAACGGTGGCGCGAGGTTTGTTCGCGTGTATTTTGTGAACGTATGAGGACGCGATGTCGCGGACGAGAGCCGATAGATGAAGAACGAAGTCTTTGAATATCGTTTAAAGGTAACGGTCGCGCAACACGGTACCCGTTAAACGATTTTTGACGGTTTCCTGGCGAAAGGTCAACCTGTGCCAGACGATGATAACTCCCGATCTCGAATCCGAGTAGAGAATGGCTCATTCTGTTTCGCAAGCGTCCACCCGCGACAATCTCTGAACTCGTACAAAGTATCGAGAAGAATGGAGGCCCGCGAGAACGGGGCAACGCATGACCTATGTAACACGCGTTGTGTACGCAGACGGCACGCACGGCGTGCCTGTTCACAAGTGTGTAGCGAAAAGTGTTCGTGCCGAACACGTGTTCTCAGCGCCGTTAACGCGTTGCCCGCGGCGCGTAAAAGAGTCTTTTTTCTCGAAGAGGCCGGAGAACGCGACTCGCGACTACGCACGGTGCAACGCACTTTTAGACCTCCTGATCGCTGCCCGTTCAAATACTTTTCACCGGTGCAACGATCCGCTAAAAAAGTCAACCCCTTGTCGCCCCTCGCGCGGTATGATTAACTGGGACGTGCGAGTAAAAAACGAAAGATACGGTATCGAGGCGCGAAAACCTCTTATCGACGTCCGTTGAAATTGAGCGGATATCATTAAAGCGGGGAGAACTCGTGGGAGTGTTGGCGCGTAACTGCCGGCCCGGGGAACATCGAGGATGAGGAACGCGCGCGGCAAGAGGAAGAGGAGGGGCCCCAGAGGAGTAAGATAATAACGTATTCGACAGAGAATGGCATTGCTCTCGCGCGGTCGTCCGCTGCAGTATGAATTACATTGGCGATTGAAACTCGTTCGCGATGAAAAAAGCAACCAAGAGACCCCGGGCTGTCGGTGGTGCCGGGATTTGCATATTAAATGGCTTGAGATTTATAACGGTCGGCCCGAAGAGGTGCTAGCAATACGCGCGATAAATAAAGAACGTTCCTCTTCGATAGACGCCGGTGAGAGCTCCGCGACTGTTGTTCGCGCAAACTGCATCGTAGACTTCGCGATCCTATCGAACAACGGAAACGATAAGTCCTGTTCTCTGAAATGCATCCCTGATAAGCTTCGCTCGACTACAAACAAACCTCGATCATCGCGCGAGATTCCCCTCTACTTAATCCAAGTTTTAGCATATCCGGAAAAATGATAGGTGACTATTGACAGCCTCGAGGAAAAGTTCGTCAATTAATTCCTTCCGAACGTCTACACCTTGCACGCTCCAGCGGTTACACCGGATTTCTGAACCACGAACGTGTCGTTCCTCGAGTCGAACCGGTTCTCACTTATCGTTCGAGTTATCGCTACCGATTATGCCCCGTTTACGCGAATTTGTGTGTTCCGCCTGCCTGGTCGGCACTTTTGACACACGAACACTTAGTTGCAAAACTCGTGGTATCCACTACCGAGCCGAATTTAAAGGTCAGGTAAGAGATAAGCGCCGCGGGAATGGTACCTCGATGTCTTTTCGCGAGAAACCCGATTAGACAGTCGGACAGGAACGTCCTATCGATGATTAACTTTATGACCGTTAATTAAGATAATCCTGTCGTTACTGCGAGCTAAGAAAAAGACCCAGTTACGGTTATCGCGCGACTTACTCGCAAGGAAACGTTACAAACTGTTGGACATCGATGAAATTTGGATCGGATATTGGTGAAACTTTAAGAAAAACTTGACTCTAGGAGGTTAGCCGGTAGTAGGTACGAGAATTCACCGGTCAAAGGGTTAAGGTCCGTCGCGAATCGACGATTTCGTAACGGTCCGAACCGATTCACGGCAATTAATTCGATCGAGGCGCGAGCTGTTAGATAGCTCCTCGGAGAGAGCGTCGATAACAAACACAGATTGCCGATGGCTCGACTAATATAGCCGGATGTGATAAATGGTCTTTTATACCCACGGACATGGCCGAGGTGTTATGAATCGCGTTAGCGTCGAATCATTGTTCGCGTCGGCACAATAACGGGCCCCGCGGGGGATCTCGCCCCCAGCCAGATTCTCTCACTTCGAGCTTCTACCCTTTATTCTCTCTGTCCTCCACCCTTTCCCCTCGCGATTTTATAATCGACCTCGTAAAGACTGCATCATCAGAAGATCAATCGGCGGTGATTGGAAATTTATACGATGCGAATTGTATCTACACCTTTCTCCCCGAGGTATAATCTCCGACGAAGACAAAGCTTTGGGAGAATCGACGATCCGTTCCAACGCGGACAACGGGCGCTGCGACGACGTCAAATGTTCATTCCCGAAATGAGACACGAGACATCGAAGGAGACAAACGCGAAATGGTTTACCCAATCTACTCTAATTATTGCTAGGGAAGTAGGTTCAATAATAGCATCGTCGCAGACTGAGAGTCGCGCATCGTGGCTTTGCGAAGAGTGAAAAAGGGAACGGAATGACCTGGGCGCATCGTTCGCGTCGTTGATTGATGGACCAGTCACCGTCTTTCTAATTAGGGACCGACGTTTCCGGTTCTTCGACCAAGCAACCTTTTCAATGATCGTCGTTGACGATTTTTCACGAAATATCAGAATTTAAATAGAAATGACCAGATAATGAGATGTAGATTTTGTAGATATTATTCCCACAAAAAGGTATCCGAGCTCGAGTGGTGAATTGATCGCAATTATGTTCAACGTCCGACCGAGAAGTAGCGAATAGGGCAATGTTTTGCGGTTCCGTTGTTTCGAAAGTCTCGGAATCTAATTTCGGATCGTCTAGCGGAGGCAGATGCAACGTGTTATCGAACCTTTTAACCACGTGGACGTTTACGAGCCGCTCGGACGCGACTAGACGCGAAGCGTCCCGAGAATCCACGTGTGCAGGAAACGAGATGCGGGTCGCACGTGTGTCCGCGTCGTCTTCAACCGCCGCCGCGGACAGCGTGAATAATGTCTCACAATTTTCGCTACGGCAAAACCCTCGTCGAATCGTCTATCGCCGGTATTCCGAACGAGCACGATTACACGTGTACCGAATACTTTACACCTGTGACGCTCGCATTAATTACACCGCCGGCCGTTGAAACAGCACAATAACTTCCGTTGGTTAAGGGCAACCCCCCTCGTGGCCCATTTCTCGAATAACGATGTTGAAATAACGAACAAAGTTTATTAAAACTTGTGCCTTATTCGAGAAATGAAATTCTGTATCATTTGACTTAATATAAGTACATGCAAAGTACGCATTTATACACTATTCACTTGGCGTATCGCGAGTTATTTGCGTGCTTGACTCACCGCTCAGATAACACACCTGATACATAGAATCAACAAATGAAATTGTATCGCAAGATCGTGAGAAAACAGGGGAAAGTATTGCGAGCGGGATACCTCGAGAATGCGAAAGGTCCAAGAAAAAAAAAAAAAAATAGTGATAAAGTATCCGGTGAATTATGGGCGAAGACGTGGGAGCATTTTATGAGAATAGATAAATGCGCGAGTAGGTGAATAAGTCGGGTAAAAAAGTAAGGGAAATTCAGGCACTCGCGACTCGATGAAAAACGACTCACGAGGGTTCGTTGCGCCGAGGAGAGATCGAATCGCTCGCTGGTGACGCGTTTATCAGCTCGGTTGCGCATCGCACTGCGTGTTCACCGAATTCTAAATACCTTGGCACGGTTTCCGAAGTTCGCACAACGACGCGAATACCATCGCGCGACAATGCACCGGTTGTCGACAGGTGCGCGAGCTATAAATAACCGGCAGATATCGTTTTCGCGTCTACTTTTTCATTCACTGTAGCCTAATTTTCTCGCGAAAAGAAGAAAACAGTAAACAATGTTAAAGATTCTCATTTATTTTATAATTGAAATTCGGATGGCCCCCTCGTCGACGTGAAAGTGTTTATCATCCATTACGATAGAGTCTCTTATTCGGATCAGACGTTGAAATAATACGATGATAGATATTTTGGTTCCATCTAAACATTCTAAACGTTTGTTCGAAAGAAAAGCACGTTTCTGACACGAAGCGTAGGTGGTCTGCGTAGGTTAAATCCGGAGATTCGTTTCGGGATTTGGAGACGTCCCGCGTTGGACGTCCACCGGATTATGACAAAATTGCAGGCCCGCTTGGAACGCGAGTGCGTGCCAAGAAATCGTAATACGTCTTCGCCTCGACGATGGAGACAAATGTGGGGACGAGTTTGTTCGTGGACGGGACTCGGTTGTCAGTCTCGCGAGAAGATTCTTTCGCCAGCCGGCGAATCTGGCCTTGGACGTCGATCGGAACGATCAATATTTACAGAATTAATTCCCGCGTATGATTCGCGGATTGGACGATGATAAACTGCGACACGAAGATGGCTCGAGGCGCATTAATGAATTCGGTTGTTCGCGTGTTTATTTCGAAAAACGATACGATCCTTTCCGTTGTTTGCGTTTCGAATTCAGCCGAGAATCGACACCAAAGTGTCTTTCGATTGCTCTCGAGCAGAGCTGTTCGAAATATAGATGTTTAACCTAATTTGACACCCTAAAAAATCGAACCGAGACTCACCTCGTTTTTGCATGTAACTGAAAAGGTCGTCCAGGAACTCCTTTCTTTTCGGATCGTCGTTGATCTCGTACAACTGAAAAAGCAAAGAAGAGTAAAGGTAAATACGTTGCCTCAGACGTCTCTCTTCGAGCAAATATCATATGGCGATGTCTCGCTGATCAACGGAACAACGTAGAAACGAGAAGAGAAAGAGGTACATGCGTCATTGATCCGATATAAAATTCATCATGGTCTTATCTCGCGTCGATAACGCGTCTCGTTCCATCTCTCTGTTTGCGCCACGAATAAAATGTTACTCGGGCTGGGCTAATAAAAACAGGAGTGAAACAAGTGTGCTCGTAGCGACAGGCAGATTAGTTAGCCCTGATTATTAATGATTCCGTTTAACCTGCCTCATAACCCGAAAGCCCCCCTTGGCCGGGCCAAAGCCAAACTCCCTTCGGGCTAGCGGCTCCATATTATCATATTTGTTACGATGTGCTATATCTAATTCGGGACCCTCTAATTGCTTCTATAATATGACCAGCTTCCCCCTTTCATCGTCACTCTTTCCGACAGAGACAGCCAAACCTTTATTCGAATGACGAATAAAAGCAATCCGTAGCGTCTCCTTGAAAAACACTTATTCAATTGCGAACAAAAAGCGGCTAATCTTTTATCCGCTAACACGGTTGTCGCTGGCACATTTTCCGTAAACGATAGGATTATTTTGAATAGCTCCTCGAAGCATCGCTTTGCGAGCAATCGTTGAGTGCGATTATCGTTTTTCTCGGCACGTTCGCGACGAACGATCGCGCTCTTTATCCTTTTCCAAGCAGCGGTTTTGGTCGCCGTTCCAAGATAAACTATACGAAACGTGACGATCATACGGTTCGTCGATTTTCTGTTTTAGAAATTACGACATAGCCCTCGTCTACGTCACCATCTTTGCGCGATACGATGAAACTCTTGCCAGAGCGCTACCTGTATTAAACGTTTACACACGTGGCGTCGTCTTGGTTTTCGAGTTTGAAATTTACGAACCGTCCCAACGTTTAAAACACTGTCGTTCGCGCAGGATACGCTCGTCGGCATTCTGGCAATCCTTTAAACGCACGCGTCTACCGTCCTCGTTCGCCGCGCGTCACTTTCCGTCGACCCCTCTCTCGTTCCTCTGGGCTCGTAGATCTGCCTCGACGATAAATTTCATCCAACGAAACGCGCTGCTGCCTCGTAACGCGGCCTCACGCGGGGTGAATAATAATTAATTTGCTGCCTGGACCCGCCGTTCATCCTGTTCAGTTCCCGACTCGCGGATCTTGCCAAGATGTCGGCCGACCGTCAGGCGAGAAAGGAGATGTTTCCGAGGTTGAGCGGAAGAGAACAGCGACCCGCGCACCAATGGCGAATCTACCACCCATCGTTCAGCCACGAGAACTCGTAACGCGAACGAAATGTTCGTGGAGGATTTGAAAAGGATCGTTCTCCGAAATGGCCGCTATCGCGACCCGCTTATTCTCGTCCACCCTCTGCGCGCCATCGAAACGAGCAACTCGACAAACGAACGAACCAACGGATGGACGGACGGCATTTCTCAAGGGCCATTTTGTACCACTTTCTCGTGTTTTTTCTTTGGTTGCGCGAGCGATGAGCTCGTTAGGGGCAGCCGGAGGGAGAGGACGGGGTAAAAGGTCGGAGCAAGAGGGACGAACGTCGTGGACCGTTGAGGGACGGAGAGGAAACCGAGTCCGAGGGTTCAACCAGCGTATATTGATTGATCTACAGTTAAGCGGACTGACGGCAGCCACGTGAAGATCGGGTAGAAACGGCTTCGTACTTTCTCTCTGTTGCTCCTGCTCGCTCGCTCTTTTCCTTACGTATTCTTCGCCTATCCTTCACCTACCCGTAAAATAAAGAGAGGCGAACGGAATTTGCTCTCGATGATGCATGCTCCGCGGCCCCGCCCTCTCCTTCTCATCGACTGACGGCCGGTGAATAATAATTCCTGATACAGCCGACGTTGATCGGGTTACTTTCGTCCCTGTGAGCAGAGGAGGGACGCAACTCGCTTCCTTCGATGATCGATGTACGCGTCTCGTTGCTAGCGCCGCGTCCTCCGGGATTTCTTCGCGTCGAGACACTATCCGATTGCGTTTTTTGTCGTTCAAACGATTAACGGTCATTAGCAACCGATCGTCGCGTCGTTTATCCTGAGGATAAGAATATATCGGAGCGACGAGAACGTCGTTGATCGCTTATCCATGAAATTGCCTTGAGATAGAGTTCTCTCTTGTTTACTCGGGTTGTTTCGTACCGCACCAATCTTTTGCTTGGATTGTTTCGTTGTCTTTCAGATCGAAGCAGCGGTATACCCCCCCCCCCCCCCGCCCCGCCCCTGAGTGCGCCACTGTGAATCGAAATGTCTCCAATTCGCGGAACCTGGCTCTCAGTCGCTCGATGAACTTTACGACCGTCGAAGAAAGATGGGGAAGGGGGAGGTCGCCGTAAAATTCGCGGAAGAGGAGAGCAAACCGAAGGGGACTCCACGCGTCGTTACCTTTACGAGGCGTAATTATCGATGCGCGGCTCTTTTTCCCGCCTCCGAGATCCAGATAACGCGTTTTTCCGGCTGATAAGGAGCAACGATAATCGTCGAACGTACCGTTGCCGCGATACGAACCTTGGCAAGCGTGTTTGCACGGTGTCTTTGGCAGATTGTAATCGTCGTGACGGAACTCTCGAGAACGAGGTGCGAAAGAGTCGGTGAGAAAAGGTTTCCATCGAAATCTTGCAACTCGGGAGACATTGGGGAACAACAAGTGTCTCCGTGAGATTGGAAAGCCAGGCGGTTGACAAAAGGAAATTCGAAGAGACGACGCATTGTGGTAACAACGTAATTGGCTGGCGCGTATCTGGCCGCATCGTCTCGTTTTCGCACGGAAGGTGTACCCGTACGGCGAAACATGTTACTGCGCCCCCGCGAGCAGGGTCGACTTCCGGTCGTAAAAGCTTTTATAAGGGTGCGTCGTGTCTCGAGCGAAACGGAAACGGGTGCAGCTTTAAATAATGCACGGTGCTTCGTTGTCGAGGTCAAGACGGAGGCGATGCGCTTCTCGGAATGCTTTATCTACGCTTCTGCGAGCGAGCCTAATTTACGTCCAATGAAACCTAATGAGAAACAGACGCGTTCGGCCGCAAAATTTACAAAAGAAACGCAAACACGAGCAACGTCGCAACATTCGCGAACAACGTATACGCGTAAGCGGTCATTCGCGTCTTCTTCCAAGAGGAGCGTCGCGGTTAGCGGGGGATATCAAGATCGCGCGTTATACGAGCGGCCATAATAGCGGTGCTACCATTATTACCCGCTTCCAGGGTATTAAAGATAACGCGAGCAATTATATATATTACGATGCGAGTAGCATACCCGCCTCGTGTTACGCTCCTACGAGATCTTCGGAGCGTCCGGAACGCTCTTTTGTACGTTCTCACCACCGGCGATTGTTAATGTTTTTCCACGTTATTTTTTAAAAGTTCAATCTATCATTTCGCGAAAACATAAAACTTTCTCTCGCGTAATCCCTGCGATACAGCCCGGCAAACAGCTCGACGAACGCGTCTTTCCGTCCACGAGAGTGGGTTGGATTCGCGAAAACTCGACGTAAGCGCATAACCGGTGAAATATCGAGGAAACCTGGATTGTTTGTATTACCGCCAAAGAAGCAATAAGCGTAACGCTGAGCAGCCCCCTCGTATATCCGAAGGAAAGACCAGAGGATTCGTTTATATCGAGCTGGTTTTGTCTCCGGTCAGCTTCTCGCGCGAACGATCGCACAGCGCGGTGGTAATAGCCGCGGTTCGCCAGCGAATCAACAGGGAGACCGATAATTGCGGTTTACGGAAGATTATGCAGTTCGGGGAAGATTTGACACGAGATGATTCTCCCGAGTTCCAGAAACCAAAAGACTTCACGTTTGAAAACTATTTTGTGGATAAATTAACACCCTCTAGCGACTCGTTTGTCACGGTGGGAGACAAATTATAGCGCACCAATAGCGAAGAAAAGTAGACACGGTTCGTGGTTTCCCATTATCGGAACGAAATCAATCGGCTTTATTCCAGCGATATCGACACGTGGAAAAAGAAGAATATCCCCGACCCTGGTCAGACTCTAATCCGAATGAGTTCGCGCGTTCATCCGCCTTCCTTTGACCGACCGGGGGACGATGGAGCGTCCAAGAAGAATCGGTGACGTTTTTCAAGCGATTCGCCCCAATCTATTGGGAAAGCTTTCCATGTCCTTTCTTCATCCCCTCGCGACAATTGCTCGACGATTACGAGCACGCTCCTCATCATCTTTGGAGAATAACGTCGTCGTTTCTCTCCTCGAAAATAATTCTTGGTGTACTTACCGATTTTATTCTATTATATTACTACTGTGCAAATGTGTACCGATACATTATAACATTCTTATAATTTTACATACTTTGTATATTGATAGGTTGTTCCCGGTTATTGAAAAAAGGCAAGGTTTTTGTGATAACGACAAGTCGTCTAATTAAATTCGATCGTAAAAGCCGCGTTTACGGGTAATGAAAATCCAGGCCTACGTATCTTGGGATAGAGATATTAAAAACGAACCGATAACTCGAGCGTGTCGCCAACGAACCGAGTCACAATCCGGAAACCGGCCTGGAAATACAAATAAAGAGTCCGTTCGATGGCGACGAAGGAAGTTCGGGGGCATTCTTTTACGAGACGAAGGGTATAAAATATAAGGAACGAAAAGGAGGTTGACGTTCGATGAAGCCAGATGTCGGCGTCACAAAGAACCCAGCATAAAGAGCGAAGTTCGTGGTCCCTTGGCGTCCCCCCCCCCTCCCCCTCCCCCCTCCCCCCTCCCGTTCTCTCCCGATACGGACGGATTTTATGCTCGTAGCTGGAAATATTAAATCGCACCTAAGCACGTTTTATGTCGACCGCCTAATAATCTCCACGGACTGTTTCTCTCTTCTCCTTTTCATCTCCGTTGCTTTCTCCTTCTACGCGAGAGAGTCCGTCTTTTCGTCACTACGTCACGCCTGGACCCCGTAG